TGCAACCCAGCTTTAGGGTCGGGGGGGGATATGTCTGTCTCTTATACACATCTAGATGTGTATAAGAGACAGGAGAGAGAGAGAGAGAGAGAGAGAGAGAGAGAGAGAGAGAGAGAGAGAGAAAACAACCTGCCTGCATCAACAAACAAGCACATATGCCACTCACTGACCAACCAAGGTACTACGATTACTCGTCCCAAGGATGATGGGGGGAAGGGATCAGGGAAGTCCGCCAGAGGGTGGATAGGTGTACAAAGAAGATCAAGTTCTGATTCATTGGCGAACTTGATTCCTCAAAATAAAACCACTCCTGCCGGAGAACCACCTCACTCATAGCCAAACCAAGACCTGCGTCGGACATGAAAGTTAACTGGGGTACCGAAACCGAAGGCTGGTGGCTCGATCCGACGGGCGGACAACCCCCCTCAGATCCTCAAGTGGCATGGAGACACAAGGAGACGGCGATCAGAATTCTTGGGGTGAATATCACGACGATGGCCCCCCCCCCAGACCATGGGGACACCCTTGTACAATTGGCAGTCGAAAAGCTCACTCGCTGGGACGCTAAACATACATCGCTGGTGGGGAGAGTCCTGGCAATCAACAATGCCATTTTCACATCCATATGGTATAAAGTTGCCTTTTGGCAACTCAACCGTAAACAGATCGCCAAACTCAAGAAGGTGGCAGCAGCTTACCTATGGAAAAACAACCATAACGATACCCAAGCAATAACAAGAGTTGCCTGGGATACGATTGTCCAACCCAGATCGCGAGGCGGCCTAGGAGTAATTGACCCGGAGGAAGAAATCAAAGCCCTGGTTTTTAAATTCCTCATTCGACTCCTTCTCGGCAACGACATTCCCTGGGCCGCCTATGCACAAATCCAATTGGCCTGTTTGGCCCCCCCGTCCCACCCCACCCATCCGGTGCATCCCCTCCAATGGCTGACTAACAATTGCTGGTCTATCCCTCGTTGTCCCCGATCTGATCTTGACGACACGCAGGCGGGACTCGCCAAAAGGGATCTCAGAATAGACCCGCTATGGACAGCCATGATCACCTTATGGAGGGAAAGAGGCCCGCACCAAAGCCCTACACCACTCAAGTGGGAGGAGATATGGCGCCAGCCAATTTTCGGCCACCCACAGATAGTGGATCAGATGGGTCATCCCTTCTCCCTCAAAGGGACCTCCAAGTGGAAAAGATGGGTGGAGAAAGGCATCTACAAAATTGGAGACCTATGGGACAGTCTCTCTCGGTCATGGCGCACACTGGACTCGCTGAGCACTGAGACTGGCCCAATTACAAACATGGCCCAATGTTTACAGGAGATACAAGAATCCATCCCTTTAGCGTGGGTCCAAATTTTGAAAGCAGGCCCTCGCCTTGTCCAGAATGACTGGGTGATAACAACGGATTCCCTGATCCTACCTATGGTTCTGTTCAATGTGCAGAGCACGGTGATCCACCATAACGTCGTTCTTCATGCGTACTGCCCTGCACTACCAGGGGCCAGATGGTCGACACTCTACCGGAGGGAAGAACTGGACACGCAACTGCCGCCGTCCTCCCTCACTAGGATCAGGGTGGTAGGGAACCAAAAGGATGGGTTCTTCCAATACGAA